AAATGCCTAAAACATTTTCTAAAACAGTCTTAAAAGGACTTAGTTTGTTAGACCATGAGATAGTTTAGAACTGAGCATCTTATAGACAATTTTAAAACCGTCTTAAAATTGCCTAAAACATCCTAAAAGGGCATTTTAGAGACAGTTTAGTACATACCTATTTTAGACAGTTTTAAAATATCTACTCACTTTTAAGATTGTTTTAGTATGGTTTAAAACGTTTTTAAAACATTTTAGACAATTTTAAGATTTTCTTATACTTTACACCTCTAAAGCATGTTTTAAAACAGTCTTAAAAAGGACTATTTTATACCAAGAGACAGTTTAGAACATGTTTTAGACAGTGTTTAGATCTAGGCACTTTTAAAATGATTTTAGAAAATGTTTTAGGAAGTATTAAGACATTTTAAAAATATTTTAAAAGATTTTAAAACTTTGATAGTTTAGAACATGTTTTATTATATTCTAGACACTTTTAAAACATGTTTTAAAACCTTTTTAAAACTGACTAAACTATTTTTGAAACAATCTTAAAAATAATAATAATAAAACTGCCTAAACTATTTTTATAACAATCCTAAAAAGGACTATTTTAGACCAAGAGACAGTTTAGAACATGTTTTAGACAGTGTTTAGACGTAGGCACTTTTAAAATGGATTTAGAAAATATTTTAGACAGTATTAAGATAGTTTTAAAATATTTAAGAAGATTTTAAAACTTTTTTAGTTTAGAACATGTTTTAGTGAGTTTTATTAGATTCTAGATACTTCTAAAACAAGTTTTAAAACCGCCTTAAAACTGACTTAAATATTTTTGAAACAATCTTAAAAATAATAATAATAAATCTGCCTAAACTATTTTTAAAACAATCCTTAAAGGACTATTTTAGACGAAGAGACAGTTTAGAACACGTTTTAGACAGTGTTTAGACCTAGGCACTTTTAAAATGGATTTAGAAAATGTTTTAGACAGTATTAAGAGAATTTTAAAATATTAAAGAAGATTTTAAAACTTTAATAGTTTAGAACATGTTTCAGTGAGTTTTATTAGATTCTAGACACTTCTAAAACATGTTTTAAAACCGTCTTAAAACTGACTTAACTATTTTTGAAACAATCTTAAAAATAATAATAATAAAACTGCCTAAACTATTTTTAAAACAACCCTAAAAAGGATTATTTTAGATCAAGAAACAGTTAAGAACATGTTTTAGACAGTGTTTAGACCTAGGCACTTTTAAAATGAATTTAGAAAATGTTTTAGACAGTATTAAGACAGTTTTAAAATATTTAAGAAGATTTTAAAAACTTTCATATTTTAGAACATGTTTCAGTGAGTTTTATTAGATTCTAAACACTTCTAAAGCATGTTTTAAAACCGTCTTAAAACTGACCAAACTATTTTTGAAACAATCTTAAAAATAATAATAATGAAACTGCATAAACTATTTTTAAAACAACCCTAAAAAGGACTATTTTAGACAAAGAAACAGTTTAAAACATGTTTTAGACAGTGTTTAGACCTAGAAAATGTTTTAGACAGTTTTAAAATATTTAAGAAGATTTTGAGACCTTGATAGTTTAGAACATGTTTTAGTGAGTTTAAAAATTCTAGACACTTCTAAAACATATTTTAAAACCGTCTTAAAACTGACTAAACTATTTTTAAAACAATCTTAAAAGGACTATTTAAGGACAGTTTTAAGATTGTATTAGAAAAATGTTTTAGGCAATTTTGGGGCGGTTTTATAACATTTCAGACATTTTTAAGACTTTTTATCATTTTAGTACATATTTTACAGTTTAAATTTTTGTATACATATATATTTTGAAGGAATAAGTTAGGTCTTAATATTATAGCAGAAGTTTAAAATGTTTAAAACGTATTTTCTGTACTTTTGAAGTTTGTAATTTTAACGGAAGTCCAGCCAACTCTGTCCGATTAGTATGTTTATTACACTGAAAGAAATTTGTTGCTAAAAGTAAATACAAATTTATACTAAAAATTTTATACTAGTGCTTTACACATTTATACTACTGTTTATTATGAATGTATGGTAAATTTTGTAATACATTTATTGTAAAGAAGATATGTTAGATCTAAATAAAAATAAACTTACCCTTACTATAAAATGTAAACTATAAGTGAATTACAGCAAAAAAATATTGCTAGAAACACCATTTATATTGCTAGGGCAGCAATAGGCTGCTAACCAAACGAATATATTTGTTTTAGCAATGTATGTGGTAGTCTATATATGAAACATAAAATATATTTGCCCTAATTATTTTTTTATTTAACTTTAGTATATATTTCTTTCAGTGTAGGTATAAAAAAAGTCAAATAAAAAGGGGTCTTTTGAAACAGTACCGGTAGTAAATTGACCGGAAGGTGATATCGTTAAATTTGAAACATGATCAACGTAGGGTGAAAATTTAATATTTCAGTTTTTTTATTATGAGCCTAACGATTTATTAAACATTTATGACTATAACGCAATTTTAGTTATGGTAATGAAATCAATTGTATGTGGAATACAATTTGTGGATTAACAAATGAACGATCTAAAACAATTTAAATGCTTTTTTCTAAAATTTCAACAAAATCATATTCATAATACAAATTTATCAAATCGACCGGTTAAAATGTTTTGAAAATATACCGCATATTAAAAATATAAAAACCACCTTGATCATTAATATTTCCATTCACTATTCAGATACCAAAAGCTGAACTCAAAGGGTTTAAGTATGTACTTAAAATGTTCACTTGCCTTTAGAATTGAAACTTACTGTAAATATGAAACTCGGTCAAGATTTCCATTGTCCTGTAAGCTGCGTTTTTAGGTTTAAAAAATATCCTTTTTCTTCCTATAGTGTAAAATAGTGTATACTAGACTGTGTTTTTTTGAAAATTATATCGAAAATATGGTTTTGGGGTGACAAAAAAAATATTGTGAAAGTTTGAGTAAATAATATTAATATTAAGAGGTCTATCATCAATTTTAATTTTTTTTTCCTCAGCAAGTTTTTGTCTTTGAACTCCCAAACTATTGAGTTTAACAAAATTTTTTTAAGAAAATTAAATGCTACAAAAAAGTTTAACCTTTTCCGTCAGATGAACAGTTTCTTTAAAATCATGCCTTAAAAATTGGTATAGTTTTACATTTTGATCTTTTAACTTTGGTATTTTGTAATTCATGCTAAATTCACTCAATCAAAAGTTATTCAAGGTTAAAGTTGAAGTCAAAACGAAATTCTTGTTATTTCCTCTGTAGATTTATTTTTTATAGGTGATAATTTGATTTTTTTCTTTATAAATGTTTATTATATAACTAATTAAAAATTGTCAATAAAAAACAATTAAATTAAACGATTAAATAGATAACAGTAAAAACAATATTTTCTAAAGAAAATAGCTTCCGAAAAAACTCGAATGTATTATTTTTTTTAATTTTCAGTAATTTTAACAATAACATAAAGATTATCATCGACTCTTTTATAAAATAATTCAAGTTATTAACTGACCCAAAAAAAAATCTAGAGCGGAAAATACAAGAATTTGGTTTTGATTTCAAATTTAACCTTGAATAACTTTTGATGGAGTGAATTTAGCCAAAAATGTTAGGAGACTTTTTTTGTAGAGCATTTCCCATAAGAATATCTATCGGTTTTTATTCCGGGTTTTACATGAATTACATAATTTCAAAGTTAAAAGATCAAAACTATACCAATTTTTAAGGCACGATTGTAAGAAAACGGTTCATCTGACGGGAAATTCCAATCAAACCTTTTTTGTAGAACATTCAATTTTCTTCAAAAAATATTCATATATAAGAACTATGAATTTAATCGGTTAAACTATAGCCTATAGGCTCAGTAGTTTTTTGTTTGCTTTTTGTTGGAAAATGTTGAATGGAAAATAATTTAATAAAATCACGAGACCGCGTAGCGGTCGAGGGGTTTTATTTTTAATTATTTTGCATGGAACTATTTTCCAAAAAAAAAATCAAATAAAAAACTTACTGAGCATATTTTGACAGATTAAATTTATAGGTTGAGTGATATACGTCTAGATTATTTCTCGAATTAAAGGAAACTATTTGACAATTCATAAAATCTGACGTATGTGTCAAAATTTATAAATATTTTTTAAAGAAAATTCCATTAATTTAAGGTATGTAATAAGTAATAATTGATATTTCGTAAACTAGATAACTTATTTTTTATTGTTTTTTAAAAAATGTTTGTTAAAACTTAAATAACACCATAAAATCGTAAACAAAAATCCAATATGGAGGCTAAAATTTAATCGCTGTTAAATAGTTCTAGTGATTAAATTGCTTATTTAAACGAAATTTATTTGAAAATTCAAGGCTTTTGATTGGTTCATATTATTCATATGAGGGCATTTAATTTTTCCGAAAAAAATCGAAAAAACACGTTGCTGAGTAATATTTTAACAAAAAGCATGAGTGCTGGTGGCAACAAAAATCCTAGTCAAAGAGGAGGATTTTTGCACCTGCACGAATGCATTTTGTTAAAACATATTACTTAGCATTGTGTTTTTTCGTTTTTTTTCACAGGAAAAATTAGATGCCCGAATGGTATTTGACAAGACTATTTCATGAGTACTAGTTAACAATTAAAATATAAATTGCAATTTTTGGTGACAACAGCTGTCAAGTTTTGCCGCGGGTAAACTCGAATAAACTGCTGACAGGTGCTGCCACACAGTTTTTTCACCTAGAAACCATTTGTAATTCAAAATTGCGCGTTTGTGATTGGTGGAAATTAAGACGAGGGAAATAGTAAATTTTGTTAAACTGGTTCAGGAAAAAAAAATCTAAAATGATAAAACTCTTAATATTAATATTATGGACTTAAACTTTCACCTCAAACAATATTTTTAAAACTTTAGGGGCTATAATGGACAAGTCTTGTACCATGAAAATAACCATATAAAATATATAAATACATATTTAATTATTTAATTTCAGGACCCCCCGTCTCAGTTCCGGCCTGACCGTGTTGACGGAGCAGACGTCGCGCAGGGGCGGCTCGCGGGACTCGCCGCCGCCGCCGCCACCGCCCGCCCCCAGGTCCGGCCAGCCGTCCTCCAAGTCTGGCCGCAACGGCGGCATACCGCTCCAGGACACGAAGCATGGCCAGTGGAAGCGGTACACGGACTCGCCGGGGGTGGGCAGCCCGCCGCAGCCGCAGCAGCCGTCCCCGCCCGCCCCCGCCCCGTCCAGCCCCACGTCTTCCAGGCGGGAGCGCCGCTCCAGCCCCCACGGCAAGGAGAAGTCCGGCAAGGGGGTGAGGGGGGTGCCGCAGAGCTTCGGATACGTCAAAAGGAGCGCCAATGGGGTCAATGGAAACTCCAACGGGAATATTTCTGTGCAAGGTAGTTATAATATGTCTCCAAAACTCTCATAGTATTTTTTTTAAATGTCGTTGATGCCAATATCCATATGGATTTGGTAGAAAACATTCTAAAACAATTATACTACTTTTGAAAAACATCTCACGCTCTTTTAGTTCTACTACAATTCAAAAAAACAAAATCTTGGATGCCTAATATAAAGAAAAAAATAAGCTGCTCTTTATAAAAATCCATGGATAAATGGCAAAGTTACGAATTTTTCAGTGGAAGACCAAAATTCAGTTTTTCGAGAATTCTTACGTTTTTTCTTCATTTTATTAAATTATATAAAATGAATATTGAATATTGAAGAAATTGAAAGTTATTTTGTTGTAATAAGCATAGGTTAAAAAAAATCTGGCTCCTTTGTTTTTTGTTGCTTTCGTATTCCGTTTCTCGTATGAGGGACCAAATGTAATCACCCATCATGGCTGCATCCCAGAAGCCGTGATACCGCCGCTCCATAGCCTTCATTTGCTGGTGAAAACGTTCTCCGTGCTCATCACTTACGTCGCCCAGATTGTGCGGGATATTTACGCACTCGAACTCTCTACTTCTTTTACTCATTTTACACTTTTTATTAACTAAATAAAACCATGATAAAAATACCTTGTTAAAATATCAAAAAATATCATCAAAATGTCACTATGCCAACACGAGAAACAAAAGAATTCACGTTTGCGGAGTCAAGTCAAATTTAAATTTTGAAAAGCTCAAAAAATTCCAATCATGCACTTTGTTTAAGTTTTCATTAAAGAATAAATATATTACAAAATAAAAGAAAAGAAATACAATAAAAATCGTCAAAAAGCTGAATTTTGGTCTTCCACTAAAAAAAACTTTTCCCTGTATTTTTATCAACATTAGCTTGTTTTTTTTGTAAAAAGGACTGGAGTTATCTGTTTGATTTAAACATTTCCCAGGATGATATGTAAATTTTCGACCTCAATTTTTGCCATAAAAACGATTTTTTAAGTTATTAAAATCGCTAGCGTCAAAATCTTATCCGATATCAAAAGTATGTAAAAGAAAGTTAAAGTATTTAAGAACTATAGTTTTTTATTTGTATCTCCCGCTTTAATAAAAAGCAACCTGGCAACACTGCTCTAAAATAATTTGACTTAAAAAAATTGTATTCTAAAATGTGATAAAAATTGAATGAAAGAAACATTGCCTTGGTATTTTTAATAACTCCAGTCGTCTGAATAAGTTCTCTCTTCTCTCTTCTCCTGTTTTTTTATACATTTTACTTTTAATAGTTTGATAAACGTCATTTTATTTTTTTTTGGGCTTATTTTATAGGTTGGCTATACTTTAAACAGCATAATATTTTGCATATTAGTTATAATATTTTTATGATTTTATTTATTATGATTTTTCTAGTACTTACGAGACTTTTCTGGCAATAAATTTTGTTTAACACCAAAGAAAATCCTTTTTTTCTTCTTTAACATTAACAGCCGCTTATTGTAAATAAGTAAATTAAGGACGGCATGGCAAATCGATTTTGACATTAACTGTCAAACCAATGACTGTGATACCAAGTATCTAAAGTAAAATTCGACCAAATTAAATTTAAGGTGTAAAATTATTTTTTTTATCGAATTTTTGCAAAATAAATAAAATAGCATAAAGAACTCATGTCATAAGACCTTTTGTGCGACAAAATGACATTAGTTCTTTAATATACTATTTTCTACTCCTATTACCTACTTAAAATTATTTAAATTAATTATTTGTATAAAGCGACATCTATACCAAAACAAAGTAACCATCCCAATAAAAAATGTTGACGTGATTGTCGCCATTAACATTGCCCGTTATTAATTTTAATTAAACTTTTATTAAACAATTATTGATACTTTAAAATATTAAAATATGATTATATTAAAGGTTCAAAAAATGACAGTTGTGTTTATTGGAATTCGCGTTAGAATTTTTAACAATCTACCGGCCTTAAAATGTCAATTTTTCTGTGTAAATAAAAATTTATCCTTTGAAAATAGATTAACAATTGATATAGAAGCAGTTTTTCACACTAAAAGAGAAGAGAATGTTTTATAGGCACTGCACTACTACGGCGTAATCAAAAGGTACATTACAAACAATCTATTCAAATATTGGCGTTAAGAAACTATTTAATACATTTGTATTGACATAGTAAAATAATTTTCACATTTAGTATTATTTTACAAAGGACACTTTATTTTACCGATTATATGAAATTTGACAACTGTCAACTATCTTAAAGCTAACTTCATCCCGTGACTAAAATCACTTAGTGTCATGAAAACACGATAATGATAATTGTATTTGTTAAATAAACATTTGACATCTGCCAACTTTAAAAGGATTTAACCTTACTTTTTCCTAATTTATAATAAAGCTAACTTCAGCCCGTAACTAAAATGCCCAAAAGCCACTGTTGCTAACTTCAGTACGTGATTAAAACGCCATAAAGTCACAGCTCGTCAATGTAGGAGTAGATAAATAGACAGACTTAAAAGCTTTAATTCTAAAAATAAATTGTAGTGACCGTGAAAACCTGTTATAAATCTTGTATTTGCAGTTTATTAAAGCACCTTAATCGCATTTCCCGGCAGATTAAACCTAATTATAGAGCGGTATAGAAAATCCGAACTCGATTACAGATCCTATCAAGTCTCGCTATAGCCGGCTTCTTTTCCACGTAATTGCGATTTTCCTCGAACAAGCTCGTAGTCGCTGTACAATAATCTCGCTCGATGTCCTTTTTCAGCGATACCGAACCAGTCTGGAAAGACTGCCTCAGTCTCGGCAGTTCCGAGGACCAAGGTGAAGGTGTCTGGAGGCACCCAAACTTGCTCCAGTGATCTCCAGCAGCAACAGGCGCAGCAAGCTTTAAGTAAGTCTAAACTCACTTTAACACTTTGCCCTACAGGGTGTTTCATAATGTATGAATATTATTGAATAAGCTTTATTTTGTGCCAGAAAATTTTTTTTTACTTATAATTGGTGGAGATTTTGAAGGGGTAGCTCCTTAACTTCTACGATACAGGGTGTTGAAATTTTAGAAAAAAAATCGTTTTTTTCGAATATCTCCGGAACCGTTTATCGTACAAAAAACAGCTTTTGTAAGCATTTTTTACCCATAATAAGCTATATTTTGTGCCAGAAAAATTTTATATATTATATATTTTTTAGTTTTTTTGATAAATGTAAACGTTTTAAATATAATCGCAACTAAACAGGGTGTTATGTAATTAATGTTATATATTAAAATGGGTTGTTCCTTATGGTCCATAAAGAAGCAACTGAAACTTTTTTTTTCTAAATTCCAAAGTCTAAAAATAATTTATAATAACCTTTATCCTACCAAAAAGTACGCCACTGATCGACTAGGAACTTTAGGTTAATTTGGTGGATTTATTATGTTATGGTTGGTAACAACAGTGTTTCCAAAATCTTTCAAAAAAGTTGACAAACATTGTTTAAATTTAGCTTAATTACAAAAATGACAAAATTAACAATGCAAATTGTCAATTTGGCGTTTTTATTAATTGTTGGTTATGTCATTTTTGTACTGAAGGTAAATTCAAACAAAATCTGCCAACTTTTATGACAGAATCTAGTGCATTCCTTTTAAATTTTGGGTTATGTTTTCAAATTGTAAATATCTTAACTAAGGGAAGTGCTTTTGGATTTATTTACCCAAATTAAATGTTTAAAGTTTAACCTGTGAACTGGTCCCAATTTCATCTGAGTAAACAGAGAAAAAAACTGATAAAAAATTAATTTTGTGGTTATGGATTTCAAATTTCAAAGGTACTAAATTTTCTAATCATTGCTTAAGCTAATAGCTGGATCAGTAAATAAATACAGAAGGGTATTAGAGCTTTAAGGGCATAAAACTTGTGTATTTATTGAGTTTCTATTTATTTTTTGCAAGAAAAATTTTTAGTAACAATTTTTTACATCTGGCAACGCATAGCTACTTTGTTGGTTGGTATCTATGTACTCACAAAATACAAGTGTGCAAAGATAAACCAAGTGTGTAACCAGTGGCGTATCACAAAAAATATAAAAAACTTCTAATGCATATTTTTTCTTTATCTTTGGAAAAATGTTTTTTTAAATATTTTTTCTTTATTCCTTATGTCAAAAGGTATTCAGTATTTTAATATATAACATTAATTACATAACACCCTGTACTTTACCTTTTTTTAATAACCAGACACCGTAAAAAATATTGATTTTACTTTTATTTTTTTAAATATTTTTATAAATTTGTGTTCTTTCTTATAAATTAAAATAAGCTTTTAACTATTTTACATTTTGTTCTGAAATTTTATTTCAAAATATTAATTTTTAAAAAAGTATTATGGTATCCAAGCCTCTTGGATGAGACATTAAAAACATTTATTTGTCATATAAATAATTACATTAAAACATTTATACCAATGAATTATTTAGGGGAAAAGTTAAAAAAACCCTTTATATTAAACAAAACTTATTATTATTCTGCAAAATTATTTTGTTCATAACTTTTCAAACTTTGACCTAAGATATCTTTTGAAGGGATAGGATACGAAAAAAAAACATAAAATACTTTTTTGTAGAGCATTTATTTCTGATTATTTCCCTCATTATAATATGAACCAATCAAAAGCCTTGAATTTTCGAATAAATTTCGTTTAAATAAGCGATTAAATCACTAGAACTATTTAACAGCGATTAAATTTTAGCCTCCATATTGGATTTTTGTTTACGATTTTATGGAGTTATTTACAAGTTTTAACAAGCATTTTTTAAAAAACAATAAAAAATAAGTTATCTAGTTTACGAAATATCAATTATTACTTATTAGATACCTTAAATTAATGGAACTTTCTTTAAAAAAATATTTATAAATTTTGACACATGCGTCAGATTTTATGAATTGTCAAATAGTTTCCTTTAATTCGAGAAATAATTTAGACGTATACTGCCCTACTATGGAGAAAGGCAGTAACTACAAAAAAAATCTTAATGCGTTTTCTTGTGCTATGAAAAAGCTATGGACATTTGGTATCTTAATTCAACTAAGAAATGCAGTAAACTATCTCATACGTTAAATAAATCAATTAAATATCTACGGCTTTTTATAAAAATTTAGTTTATGCCAATTTTCCCCAGATTTCTTGTTTAGCAGTTACTGCCTTTCTCCATAGTTGGGCAGTATATCACTCAACCTATAAATTTAATCTATCAAACTATGCTCAGTAAGTTTTTTATTTGATTTTTCTTTTTGGAATATGGTTTCATCAGCGCCGGATTATAAAAATTTGCGCCCGGGTCTAATAAAAATTTTCCGCCCCTACCTACATAATAAATTCAAAGAAATGTCACTTGTTAACAAAAGGATTTTATTTAACCATAAACATTAGGGTTGTAGTATTTTTTCGAATTTTTTTTTATTTTGGAGATCAAATAAAAAAATAAGTCTAAAGTATTTGAGTTTCAACAGATAAAAAAATTTTAGACGTCGCTCAAAACTTTTTTAAACCAACCTTTTTTCTCAAAATCTTTGGCTTCTCACTATTTTTTTTGTAGGTCGTATAGGAACATAATACATTTTTAAGTCAAAATATTATTGGTCGCTCAATATTTTTAAAATACATTTCTTGATTTTTTTAATAATTTTGATCTTGTAACCACAACTATTTTTCCAATTTAGTTGATTTTTTTGAGCGACGTTTATTTTTTTTTTTGAGTTAAAACTTGAATACTTTAAACTTAAATTGTTTCATGTGAGCTCCGAAATAAAATAAAATGTCGAAAAAATATTGCCACCCTAAAAACATAAACAAAAACTATATAAAAAACAAATACCTAAATAAGAAAATTAACATTTTCCCAACTCAACTTTGCGTGCTTTTAGAGAAGCAAATTTGTTTATCGCAATATTGACGTCATCTTTCAATAGGCTAATTCCTATACTGTATATATACATACATATATATATGACTGATAGTGTATATAACTATAGTTTTAAACTAATTTAAATTAATAGTTGTTCGTAGTGTAATAAAATATTCTTATATTAAAAAACCTTTACGCCCTTACGCATCGCATCGGTGGAAATAAACAATTTCTGCAAACTAAAGTTCTTGTCGCCCAACAACTTGTCGGGCGCCCTACGTAATACGTGACATGACATATTTCGTATACTATGCATAGATAATAATATACTATAATATAATATAATAATATACTATGGCAACAATCACGGTTATAATTTAAATAATTTTTTTATTAAAAAATAAAAAAGGGGAAAACCCTTTAGGTTGTAGTAAAAAACAAAAATTTCCAGTCAAAAATTTTGCGCCCCCTGTAAGCTTGCGCCCCGGGTCTATAGACCCCCAAAGACCCCCCCTAAATCCGGCGCTGGGTTTCATGCAAAATAATTAAAAATAAAACCCCTCGACCGCTAAGCGGTCTCGTGATTTTATTAAATTATTATTAAGACCACAAATTACTTTTGATCAGAAAAGTAGCATTAACCGGCTTTTGGTCCTGGGACTTCTAAGAAAGTAAGAGTAAAACTGACGAGCACTTTTGCACAAACATAACTTCGTATTTTTTCGATTTCTTTTATTCATTATCGATACTTTCAGAAGCAAGTCCACAGCAATTCAAGAGTTATTCCCTGACAGGTAACGCAGCCTCGCAGCTGAGCCAATCGGTTCGCGAACGGCTGATGATGGGTTCGCAGAGCCTCCCGAAAGGCGCCGGCCAACACGATTACGGCCTGATCTTGAGGCACCAGCCGAGACCGAAGGTCAGCGACGGATCCCTGTCCGATACTCAAGCCATAGAGAACTCCAGCCCTTACGCGCCCTGGCTCAGACACAGGTAGGGTTGGGAAAATTTCACTTTTTGCGGGGCTCCCACACCTCCTAAAATTCATAAAATTCCTAAAATTTGGCTTAAATTACCACCAATCTCCTAAAACTCCTAAAAATTAAATATAAGTAGGCCAACTTGACTGCGTTTAATTAAGGTACCTAGTTGTGCTAAAAAATTTCTTTTTTAAAAAGTAATTTAAAAAATATATATTTTTGAGTTCTAGTTTATTAAATTCTTTTTAAAATGATATAGATCACAACCTACATTTTTCTTAAAAAACAACAAAATATACCATAAAACAAAATCCATGTAGCAGCTCCTAGACTTCTACAAAATTGTCATTTTTAGCCATATTTCGTTAATTTTCGACAAAAATATACCCTGTTATATATCAAACAAAATGATTTTTAATTTTCTTTTAAATGATAGCTAAAATAGTAAACAATCTAAAGAATATTTTGCTGTATCATGCACTTAATATTTTTTCTATTATGAGAATTTTTAGTAACAATAACATTACAATTATTGTTAGTTATTAACTAAACTGTTAATTTTTTTTTTCAAAATATAAATATGACATCATTAAACTTTGGCTATCGACGCTTTTTTAAATAAAATTAAAAGTGGTGAAATTTCTACTTGTATATACAAAAGTAGTAATTTTACCTCACTTTTCGTTTTATTAAAAAAAAACTCGTCGAGCGATTTGGTTAAAAAACTAGTCAATATAACCTATTTGTACAAAAGAAGTGATATTTATTTATATTTTTGTTAAAAAGAATTACTTATTCTTTTCTTATTTTTTAAGCATAGTGTAGAGTTGTTTTTATTTAATTGAATAAATTCATTTGCATACTTTTTTCTCCTAAAATTCTCCAAAAACCTCCTAAATTCTAAATAAAATTTGTAATTTAACCGTGGGAGCCCTGTTTTTGCTTGTACTTGAAATTTCACTTGAAATTTTCATGACATTTATGAAATTTATTAAAATTTCCTAAATTTCTGAAATTTCATGAAATTTATGAAATTTATTGAAACTTTCAATAAAGTTCAATCACTTTAAGTGTAATATATTAATATTGAAATAAGCACACTCGGGGACCATGGCAAATTGCCTCTCTTACCTCCTACCTCTCTGTGGGCCCCTGCACCAATAAAATAAATAGTAAATACCTATGCTTACCAAAAATTTCTTGAGATTTCCTTTTAAAATATTTTAAAATTACTAAAACTAAAAGAGATATAGCACTTTTTGGTAAGCTAATGAGATTGTGCCACTTTCATTGTTTTATATTTATATTTATTTATTAATTTTATATATTTTACTAAAACTTTACGAAAATTGAAGAAACTTCATCAAAATTTTATGAGCCAAAGGCATTTTTTATGCGTTTTTCGATGCAATTATAGCAAAAGTAAAAGTTTAAATTAATCATGACTTTTAAAAGTCTGATTTAATTTACAAATTAAATTGGTAACTGAATTAAATTATTTAAATTAATTTATGCATAATGAAATTTCTGAAACTTTCACGGGCAATGTTGAAATTTTCGGATTGAAAATTTCATTTGAAATTTTTAAAAATTTCACTTTTCCAACTAAATGAAATATTTCAAGTTTGAAACTTTCAAAGTTGAAATTTTTATTTGAAAATTTCAACTGTCCCAACCCTAGGCACAGGCATGTCCCATAGACATCATTGAGTGAAGATGTTTTTATTTTGATTTATTTTGTTTTAGTAACACGTATTCCGTCGCTCCAAGGTTGTCGGAAACCGATAGTTTGGAAAGCCTAACCAGTCTGCCTGGCCACAGGAGCAGCCTCACACACACCAGGTTGCTAAGGGATTCGCCATCCAGGCTTAGCAGGAGTAACAGTATCAGGTAGATTTTTTCAGGCAAACAGTCATAAAACAGGTCTACAGTCGGTTTTTTTGTCTCCACATCAGAATCAGTTTCCAGAAATGTTTTATGTCGGATTTTATTTTTACATATAGTGTTGTTTGGTGTATTTCCAGAGGAAATCCTGGGTTGAGTTTTTACCGGTTTTCCAATAAACAGTGTTAATCCGAACGAAGAAATAAATTTCATACAGTCCCTGTAAATATAAATTGTATCTATTAGATACAATAAATACACATTTCAGTAATGATTAACGTGAAAAGTGTAAACATTTCAATTCAGTAAAAATCGTCTAAATTTAAACGGCATTTAGCATTATTAAAAGCGTTGTTTAAGAAAGTCTCCACTAAACGGTAAAATACCATTATATTATGTATTATATATAATATTATGTTGCCATGAATTCGTAGGTATATTTTGTTGTTTAAAATGCAGTTGTCGGCGTTTTTTAGAGAACTCAAATATAAAAATGATCGATTTTAAGGTTATGTTTGTGCAACAATTATTTTTTACTAATTTCTAAGAAATGTCCAAACTTAAATATAAATTATATTAGGTAAAGTTATCATTAGCAGGGCCGGCGGAAGACCATGGTAGTATAGGTACTACTACCCACTGGAAAAATTCCTGAGTAGGTATATACCCACTCGGAAAATAAATGTTACATGAACATTGTTCCGGAATTTATGCGATTTCTACAATTAATAATTACAATTCCAGGATCTTCGTGTTCCAACGAAAGAAGTTTTTCAGTTTTGCGTCATTTAAAAAATTATTTAAGATCAACAATGGCACAAAATCGACTAAATCACGTAGCAATCTTGCATTATTTCTCTGATTTAGCAGATAAACTCAATATGGATACTCTAATAAATGAGTTTATTGTTCGCAATAAAAAAGAACGGCTGTTTTTGCTATTTTAGATAAAAATTGTTAATCTACAAAAATGCATTGTTATTTATGACTTTCTATTGTTACATTTTAAAGCTCCTTATTTTTCAATATATTTTTATAATACCCCCTTTCTCCGCCTAACTACCCACTCGGGCTAAATGTTTTCTGCCGGCCCTGATCATTAGTTAATTCTGCACCAACAAATGTACTTACCGAATTGGATCCTTTGGCAAAACATGAAAATGCAACGATTTAGTTCTTGAATTTTATTTACAATTAAAAACGCAATAATTCACCATGATCCCTTAGATAAAATACACACACTAACGTAACTATATGAGCATTTAAGCGTTGAGTTTCTTAATCAATGATATAAGGAATAATCAATCAAAATCGAGTACTAAACCAGTTTTTTAGTTTTTTCCTTGCAACGTAAAACACAAATATCGTGCGAGATTTAGCTGTGCAATTGAAAAAAAATTGTCGAGTAAGACTTCTGCCTTCCTCTCTTTTGTGAAAAAACTAATTATTTATTTAAAAATGATGTACACTTCGTATGCTTTAAATGTATTGTTGACAATTCTTAAATTCAAATTTAAAGCATTTAAACCGTCTGTAGACCTGTATACATAAAATTCACATTTAACATTCTCCTGGTTGGGTCAATTTCAAAATATATAAATAAAAATTCTTTATTTTCTTTAATATCTATAACTACAATAAATTTTATTTACTAGCTATCTACGTGAACGGACTTTTCCAAGGTACAGAGCGTGCGGAACAGCTTTTGTTACTTATTTTGAAACTTTTTCCACTTGACGAAATATTAATTCATACCATAACACACGTTATAAAGTGGTGCAGCAAAATTATGTTTAAAATGTTAAATTCGGTTTAATGTGGGCGATGGTACAGTTACGGAAAATAGTAATGTCCATTTGAATGCTCCATTGTAATTGTTCGGAGGCATTCGGGTTTTGGTAATAAAATTAACATATTTATTTTTAAACTCAATAATTCTACCTACCTGCTATTTATCGTTCTTTCTACGCACATTTTATTCGACTTTTAAGCTTTTATGCAATAATCTAAACCATTTAAATATTTAAGGAAAAAATTGATTTTAAAATAATTTAAATATTATATATGTTTTATAATTTATTTTTTCTACTCCCACCTTTAAAACGCCCTTTATCGTACATGTTTCCATGACACTAAGTGACCTTTTAAATACACATTGACAAGTTGTAGCTTTATGGCGCTTTAGTCACGGGCTGAAGTTAGTTTTAAGTTAGTTGACAGTTGTCAAATGTCATACAATCGTTAAAATATAGTGCCTTTCTTGTAAAATAATACTAAATGTGAAATTTATTTTATTGTCTTAATACAAAAATACAAAAGTATTAAATAGTTTCTCAACGCCAATATTTGAAAAGTTTATATGAACATTGTACTGGCAGTAAACTATAACTTAAATTCGGGCACGGACTCCACTGTAAAGTGCTCAAAAAACATTTTCTTTACTTTCACTGTGAAAAACTGTCAATTTTCAAGAAATACAATTCGATTTATAACCTTTATAATCTGTGTTTATAAAATATAAAAATGTGACATTTGACGGTGACACACAGATTCCCCTGTTGTTTCATAGATGGCGCTCTATACAAATTTTTGATTTAAATCATTTTAAGATAATAATAAGTATTTGTCGTAGAAAAAGTATAGTACCTATGCACCTCATTTATAAACATTTCTATACACTCATTAATTTAAGCACTCGCTCGCAAGCTCGCTCGTGCCTAAATTAAATTCGTGTATAAAATGGCGTTTATCAAACTTGATACATAATATACTATTATAGTTTTATAGGTATGTTAATTTTTTTACGAGTATTATAATTTTATCACACGTTTTTTGATAAATCTTATAAGATATACTATAGTATATTTAATTTAAAAATATACCAAATATAAAAATTTCAAATATATTTTTTTAATTTTAACACATAAACGTGCAACAAGTAATAAAATGTGTTTTTTTATTTCTATTGAATTATTGCTAGTTCTCAAAAATGTTAAGTAAGTTTTAAAAAACTACAACTTGATAATATTATTTTAAGCCTAACAAGTTCTTTTTAAAAGTTTTTCATAAAATAAATGTATATGTTTAATAAAAATATAAAAAAATATTTAAAAAAATTAACGATTTAATAAAAATTCGGTTAAATATGTAATACACCCAAAATAATTAATTCAATACGAGCAGGTAGTAAATTCTAAATATAGACATATTTTTAACAGTTACAATTGAGTATTCAAATGGACATTACTATTTTCTGTAACTATACGTACTCTTGCAGTTAACCGAATAGGCAACCCAGACGACAAAAATGTATGCGGTTGCCTAACATTACCAAATTCTTGAATGGATATTTCGTCGGGCTTTGGTTGCTTCGCACTTGTATTGTCCGCTTTAATTGTGTTTTTCAACATTCTGCACACAATATTGAACAAATATTGCCGAAAAACATCGCTTTCTTTACCTCTCCGGTTTACGTTGCTTCCTTCTCTTTATCTGTCATTTCCTATGGGTTGTTGCAGATCGACGAAAAGCGAAAAACTGTATCCGTCAATGTTGCACAGGAACAACACCGAGCCGGAAACGGAACCGTACTACTGCCTGCCTATAGGCTCGCTCAGCCATTGGTCGCAACCGACCAGTCCTGCTCCTGGAAATGGGCGCAGCTTTCCTTTGTCACCGACGTTGTCCAGCGCGCCGAGGCACCAGCCGAAGAATGACGAAGGTAATTTTAATTCTATTGTTGTTAATTTAAAAGAAAACAACGTACACTGGTACCAACACTAAATGTATAAAACGAAGTCTGTAATTGAATATTGTAATGCATTTTAACCATATTAAGTTGGCAGCAATTGCAATTGACGTTTTAGAATTTGCGAAGCTGTCAGTTGTGTTTTTGAATATTTCGTTTAATTCGTGTATAATTTCGTTTATTTTGTTTGTTCTTTGTGTTATTTTATATCGTTTAAGTTTTCATTGCCGTTTTTGTGTTTGTTATATATCGTTTTTTTGTTTTTCCTGTATTTAAAATGCCGAAGCATTTAAATAGTCGGAGTCAAGAGTTGGTATTATCCTTAATACGCTATTTTGAGGCAGAACGGGATAATAATGGACCTTTGTTACCTTTAACAGTTGTTAGAGAGGTAAATAGGATTATTATTAATTATACATTAGAATATTTAACAAAATATATGATGGCAAAATTTCTGGGTTTTATAGCTGAAAATGTCTTTAAAAATGGCTAAAAACATACTTTTGGCGGTGCATCATATAGGTTAAAAAACTCTGACTTTTGACATTTTGGTATTCTAAGGTCCCAAATCTAGGGACCCTATGGTATTATTCATGTAACTGCCATCTATCGTCCTGTAGTTGCACTACCACTTTCACTTGATGCAATGATTTTACTATATATATAGCTTTGTGGGGATTTACGACGCGCTGTTTTTAACAGATGTTTTTGAAAAATTTAAAAAAAAAACGCGTTTTGTTACTCTTTCTCATTAAAATCCTTTTAAGCAGTTTTAGTTTGGTGTAATCCAAAAAAAAAATATTTTTCCTGTTCGATAAACGTATCAAGAAAGAAATACAGGGTGTTATGTAATTAATGTACCTAATACATTAAAATACCTACTGAATACCTGAAAATATTACAAAAATATTATTACCTATCCCAAGCAGCATTTGAAGTTTAAATAACTACAAATTTACTACTAAGTCAACTTTAAAGTATTTTTTATGGTTAACCAAAACGGTTTTATAACGATATAGATACGAAAAATTACCAAATTTCTGGAATGGTTTATTTTGTTATTTTACCTACATAATAACCTTTTTGATCCACTAAGAGATTAACGTAATAAAAACAATATAAATGCCACAAATTTACGTAAAAATAACGCTATGATTACTCTGTTTGCTATTTCTTTCTAAAACATTGACATTCGTAATTTCTTTGTTCTTTTAATTTATATTTTACAAAATGATACTTACAAAGTAATAAAGGCCACCCTAGAGTAAAATTAAAAAATATAACTTAAATTGTCAAAACTAATAATATTTTGCATTAAAACTCAAACGCACATTATTTTATTGATAAAAATAGGCACGATACATCTTAAAAATTATATGCCCTCTAAATATTTTACGGTTTTAAGAAAAATTATTGCTTGGCTAAAAATTCAACAAAACTTAAAACAAAATTTTATAAAACCTTTTAAAAATCATTTAGTTTTAATCATTTTTTAATAACTAAAACTTTCCTTATTATATTTTAATAAAATATTTATGAAAAAATACCTAAATAATAATATTATATAAATGTTTAGATAAGTAATGGATGCCATCTTAAAAACTCATTAAGGCGACCTGAAAAAATTTTTTCCTTAAAGTTTTATTTTTCACTTTAAGTTTATTTTTCCTTGTTTAGTCAATATTAATAGTATTTATTACCACTAATAACCCTAAAAAATACCAGGCGAATAGGAATTATTTACGGTTATAAAGTGGTCTTAATGTCGTAAAGTTATGACTTATGAGTAACATTTACAATAAGTAAAAATTCTGACGTTAAAATTACCGTTAAATTTTCCTTTAGGTGAAATACTCTTATAAGTAATTTTCTTTCGTAAAAATTACGTCCCTCATAAACCTTTAAAGTGTTGAAATTAAGGGTTATTAAAATAGGTAAAAAATGACATAAATAAAACTTATTAAATAACCTTAAAAAAAGTTTTACTTCAAAGTAAATTTTTAAGGTTAATTTAACAAAATATTTACTTAAATTAAGTAATATTGCCTCAAAGCTCTACGCTTTTACTTAAAATGCTGGTTGGGATTTCAAAATCTCCATGACCACAAAATCAGTTTTTTCATCGGTTTTTTCTTTCTGTTTACTCAGATGAAATTAGGACAAGTTCACAGGTTAAACTTTAAACATTCAATTTGTGTAAATAAATCCAAAAGCACTTCCCTTAGTTAAGATATTTACAATTTAAGCACATAACATAAAATTTAAAAGAAATGCATTAGATTCTGTCATAAAATTTGCCAAATTTTATTTGATTTTACTTTCATTACAAAAATGACATATTTAACAAATTAAGAATTTGCATTTTTGATTTTGTCTTTTTGGTAATTAAACTTTTTTGACAGAATCTGGAAACGCTGGTTGTTACCAACCAAAACATAATAAATTATTACTTTTAATATAAATATTTATTTATTTACAGTGCACGGTTCTTCTATATCTTTGGTATCGACCGCATCGAGTCTGTACTCTTCAGCCGAAGAAAAGCAAGCTCACGAGATCAGAAAACTGAGGAGAGAACTGACGGAAGCTCAGGAAAAAGTGTACACTTTGACTTCTCAGCTCAGCACAAACGTGAGTACCGCAAATCTTTTATTCTCGTCTATTGTTGTAATGGGAGTTTGGCGTTAACCTTTTAATCGCCTTAGGCTCATTATGTTCTGTAAATAATACAGAATGCAGGTATTATTTTGTGATCCTTTTCGTAAGAGGATTAATTCACGTTAAGAATGTTTACGGCGAATACTAAGCGCTATCAATGGCTTAGGAGGGTGCTTTACGAGGCACAATTGAATTATTTCGCTTTATTGGTTTCATGCTATTATTTTCAATGATACGACGCTATTATAACAAAACTGTAAATTGTTTAGAGTTGTTTTTTTATTAATATTTATTGCGTTTTAATAGCTAATTATATTTATATTTAAACATTTTCTTTACATGATAAGAGAAGCGGTATATTTGTCGGCCAATATAACAAGATGTTTGTTTACATACATACATACAGTTAATTTTTTTTTATTTGAACTCGTTTTTTTATTTAGTTGGTAGCTTATGCCAGTTTGATTTAGTATTCTTTGTAGTAGTTTGGATATTTTTGGATGAAAAAAGTTTTACAAATATTAAATCATACATTATTTTTAACTAAGCAGAATTTTTGAAATTTAAAAAAATAAGGGGTAAATAAAAAAACAAAAAAATAAAATATTCGCTGTTAGGTACAAACTTTTTGTGAAAAATCTAGTAGTTAATTTTCCTGTCTTTGAAAATAGCATCCATTTGGTTTGAAAAAGATAAGCAATAATCACTTCTTTTAATTTGCAAGTTACACTGGAAAAAAATATTCTTGTATCAAATAAATATATTTGAAACAATCTTTGTCTCATATATAACGAAGAGAATATATTCTTTAAAATAGTAAAATATTTTTTTAATTCACGTTGATTTACTTCAAGAATCTCTTCTTAATGTAAGAAAATTAAATTTCTTTAAATAAAACTTTGATTGTTTAAAAGCAAGAATATATAATTTTTGAAATAAGGCAGCAATATTTACTTAATTCAAGAAAATGTATTTTCTTTAACCAAATAATTAGTTGTTTTAAAGCAAAAATTTGTTCTTTTAAAAATAAATTAGTGGTATTCTTAAATAAAAAAGATACTTAATTCAAGAATAAATTTTCTTAAAACATGTGATATTGAAATAAGGCAATAATTTTCTTAAATCAAGATTTTTTCTATAACCCAATATTTTTTTATTAAAAGATTCAAGATTTAAAATTTTATTTAATTGATTACAAACTAATATTTATTTAAAAACTATGCAAGAAGTTCGTTAAAAATAAAATGTATCTATATAATTTTAAGATACTTTTAGCAATGTTTCAAAAAATCTATCTATCTATTTTGTATTTAAAATCAATAAAATTTTAAATAATGATACGTGTATTAACTAAAAATTATTTATTTTAATAATAAAAACGTCTTTATATTTAGAAATATTACTGCAAAATAAATAAAATTTAAAATAAAAATAAAAATACGTCTAAACACTTGAAGGGGACTGGAGTAATTTATCCTGTAATTTTTTAAGGATTGTCTAATCTTAAACAAAACTTTATATTTAAATACTTAAGGGCCGTCACACGTTTTTTTTTTAATATTTTTTTCAAATGTTTTATACAGTTCATTTTTTTATCTGGACTCGTGTTTTTTGTTAGGTTGGTGGCTTATGCCAGTTTGACTTAGTATTTTTAGTATTTAAAAATGGTACTTCCGCTAAAGAATTTAATTAAATACTTTGACACTGTCAAATTGACAATAATATTTATTATTGATAATTTACTTGTCAATTATAAATAAAAAGATAACTATACCAAAAATAATAGCAACGAATTCAAATGTAAAAGCCCTTTTGAGGGCAAAACTTCATTTTGATGAAATTATGTCAAATGCCACAATGGAAGAAAAAGAACATGGCCTTATGGACATTTTTGGAGTAAAAAAGTTGGTTTTATAAATATTACATCACACATTATTTTCACATTATTCACCATTGGACAACATTTACGTTCACAAAAAATTTAAATTTCTTTTATATAAATTCTTTTCAAAGCCAAGATTATTATCCGCTAGGAATACTTTCTCTTCTGGGTTGTAAAGCAACCTATATTTAACTACTTTTTTTATATGATTTTACTCATCCAAGCACCACCAAAGCCAAATTAATTGCATTTTTAACTACGAATTTCGACAACTCAACTTAACAACTACAATAATTTATACATAACCACAATTAAATTTATAACTAGCTTAGTTTGTTTTAATCAATGCGACCAACTGTATTTATCAACCAAAACCCTAAATTTGCAACGTTGCCGCAGTCCAGATAAAAAAAATGAACTTTACTTTCAAAAATAATATAACAATCTTACTTAAAAATTTAACCCAATTAATACTTTTAATTAATTGAAGTTAGGGGATATTACATGGATTAATTACAGGTCTAGTCAAGATTTGTTTTATATGCAGAGCATTTTAAGTGTTGATGACTCGTATTTCGTATAAATTTGCAAACAAAACATTAAGTATACATTTTTATTTGTTGTCTTGTTAATTCGCAGGCTATCTTTATGGTTTTATCTAAATAAGGACCACAATGTAGGCACGGGCATTGATTATTCGCGGTATCCGATGTACATTGACATTAGTCGCGTCTAATTTAAAAAGACGGATTACCCTTTTGCTTCCTAGCACGTGCTGCTACCGTTGTTCCTGCAAGAAACTTAAAAGATTGTTTACATGTTCTTTTGTACTTTGACGATCATAAAAATTGGATACGGTCCAAGGTCCCCCGATTATAAAACTCAAAACGTAGGCGTAATAAAGTGCTCTTTCAACGTCTTCGTAAAAATAATAAGACAAGATATTGGTACATATAAGTTTATCTTGTCAGGGATTATCGAGAGTTACAATTCAAGAGGCAGCCAGTGGGAGTTTTGACTTGTTTAACAGTATGGAAAATCTACTGACGAACAAAAATCGCATTGTGTGCTGATGTATCAATGAGTCAACAACATTTATTTATTATGTACACTTAAAGGCATACAAAACGTATAGAGAGCATCTTCCTCACGATGTGGTGGACGAATTACCATAATTACTGTTTTAAAAAACGAAGGCACGAGAAAGCAAGTCACGAAACGTCAGTCGTCCTATGGATGCGGAAAACCACGAGGTAATATGAAATTATAGACTTGGTTGCGTTTGTTTCAAGACAATGTACCCACTCAATATGGCAAGTGGAAGAAAATAGTTTTTCTTACTACCTCGAAAATACGTTGTTTCGTCCCCGATTCCACGGCAGAAAGTTTACGTTTTATGCATTGGTCAAGCTATACGCGCACACTCTAATAGCGGGAGTAAAAATTTTTTAGTCGTGAGCTTAACATTCAAATTTCGTACTGCCAACATGAGAAACACAAAAATATTACAGTTTTAAACCATAATTTTGCAATTATAACAACAAATAAACAATTTATGTTTTTACTTTTTATGTTGTTTTAAGTGTTTAATAGTACTTTTATTTGTTATAAAGTAGTAATTTGTTAATTAAAATACAACCTTTTATTTTTACTGTATTGGCACCGCTGAATTCACGGCCTACTGTTATTTATTTATCAAGCTCTTTAAATGGAGATAAGTACATAAATACACATTTAATTTTTTCCCGTATTTTCGGCCGGGTTGTATTTTTGGCCGAGGTAGTAAGAAAAATAGTATACACTGCACGGGCAGAAAGTGTGAGAGCCCTGAACTGCGCGCCATGATGCCCTCGGCTTCGCTTTGGGCATCATGGCGCGCAGTGCAGGAATCTCACACTTTCTGCCCTTGTAGTGTAATATACTATTTTTCAAGCGTAGCTATACTCTAAAAAAGCTTCGCTAGTAGCGCCACCACTCGGCCGTTATCATCGTAACAAAACTATAACTTTTAATAATCAGCTGTAAAACGATTATGTTACAAACGAACGTTTTTGAGAATAAAGAGAGAAAATCCTGGGTTGAGTTTTTACCGGTTTTCCAATAAACAGTGTTAATCCGAATGAAGAAATAAATTTCATACAGTCCCTGTAAATATAAATTGTATCTATTAGATACAATAAATACAGTAAAGATTAACGTGAAAACTGTAAACATTTCAATTCAGTAAAAATCGTCAAACAAATAAGTCGTCTAAATTTAAACAGCATTTAGCATTATTAAAAGCGTTGATTAATAAAGTCTTCACTCAACGGTAAAATACCATTATATTATGTATTATATATAATATTATGTTGCCATGAATTCGTAGGTATATTTTGTTGGTTAAAATGCAGTTGTCGGCGTTTTTTAGAGAACTTAAACATAAAAATTATTTTTTACTAATTTCTTAAAAATGTCAAAACCTAAATATAAATTATATTAGGTAAAGTTATCATTAGTTAATTCTGCACCAACAAATGTACTTACCAAATTTAATCCTTTGGCAAAACATGAAAATGCAACGATTTAGTTATTAAATTTTATTTACAATTAAAAACACAATAATTCACCATGATCCCTTTTATAAAATACACACTAACGTAACAATATAAGCATTTAAGCGTTTAGTTTTTTAATCAATGATATAAAGAATAATCAATCGAAATTGAGTACTAAACCAGTTTTTTAGTATTTTCCTTGCAACGTAAAACACAAATAACGTGGGCGATTTAGCTAGAGTAAGACTTCTGCCTTCCTCTCTTTTGTGAAAAAACTACCTACTTATTTAAAAATGATGTGCAGTTCGTATGCTTTAAATGTATTATGTATTTCTTGTTCGGGACCCTTTGGTGACTTAAAAATGATATTTACCAAAATCTTAGCTGCTCCTCTTTTCGAAATTTTTTGAAAATTCTTGATTTTTTTTTTTAAATTTTTGTTTATCTTAAAGTCTACCTTTGACAGAGTACACATTTGTACACCGATTTTTATAATATTGGAGTATATTGTTAAGGAGATTTGGAGAATACTTTTTTATACTGTTCACATCATT